TTTTCTCAGGGAGAAGGAAAACTCAGTCCTTTTGCCATGTTTTAAGGCAAAAAGGATTAATGGCAACAATAATATCTGGCACTTGTTAAGCTTTTAGTTTGTACCATGTACAACTTGAGACACTTGGCCTGTATTAACACATTTAATTCTTTCAGACACCCTATGATAAGCTTCATTTTATGGATAAAGCAACTGAGGCAGAAAAGGTTCAATAGTTTGCCTGATTCCATACAGATGGAAAGTGGCAGAGTAGAAACTGAAATGCACATAGCCTAGCTCCACTGTCTGCCCTTTTCACGGCTACTCTTCACTCTAGATCTCCACCCATAAAGGTCCCGGGCCATCGTGTGACCTGCCCCTGAAGAGTGTGACCTTTGATAAATCACTTACTGCTGCTGTCCAGCTTTAAATAGCACATGTCTATTAAAGTCTGATTAGTGGTTTAGAATACTTTTAGTTTATTTTGCATGAGCACTTCTAACGACTCTTTTGTTAACTCTTCATTTTATTAGTAACAAGATATTCATTTCACCCATTAATGCTCATAATCTAAACAATTGTTAAATTAATAATAATTTTATATAACTCATATTTAGTTTTCTCTCCGTGGAGACTCTTATTCATTTGAAACATTTATTGCAGTCTCCGGAGGGCCAAGAACTGTATTAGACTGTGGTTCATTATTGGTATTTCACATTCTGGCACATTCTACATTTCCTAGAACCACATAGAGTTCTGAACTTTAAATTTCACTTTAACTGAAGGGAAGATTTAGTGTTCATAGCATTGGGGTCGTTTAACTAAAGAGTGTTCTTTGCTTCAACTGAATAACACAATGTTTTCCCTACAGAAAATAAAAATTGGTAGAATGTTAAAATTCTTTGCTGCATTTAAATATCCATAAGCTGATACCCAATTTATGAAGGAATTGCTTTAGATACAATTTTAGAGCACAGCCGAAGTTCTGCTTTTCTTTAAGTGGAATATATGAAATGGAAAAGCAGGGGATAGTGGATCTTGATTCTTACATCAATTAATACTTGAAAGCAATCAAAGTAATACATATTTCGGAAATGGATGGTGGTGATGGTTGCACAAAGGTGTGAATGTACTTAATGCCATTGAACTGTGCACTGGTTAAAATGGTAAATCCTATGTGACATGTATTTTACTGCAATAAAGAAGTAATTGAAAAAATTAAGGTCATATTTACTTACAAATGTTACCAGACCTAAATTCAAATATCAGGAAAAACAGAAACCGAAGAGCTTAAAACTGTCTCTTCCAATATATACTTTGTAATTATTTTTAGGACCTTTTAAATTATCTCACTATAAAGTAGTCAACAGAAACTTGTTAGGTACTCCTCTGTTCACAGTTTTGTTAATGGTCACTGGGTTAACAGAGAGTGGATGTTAACCATTCAGTGGTTAGCTGTGCTGATAACAATAAGCGTATCAAACTAAAGAGACAGTTAATCCTAGAAGACTTTATATTGAAGTAGTTCATGAAGAGCCTTTCTTCAGGGGGAACTCCAGAGCCTTACTGTTTTCTCCTGTCTGTCTTATTCCTCCCCAGTCCTTCCTCCTGACCACTTCGAACCTCCTGACTCTCTCATCAGTATGTTGCTGTTCTGAGGAGGAGAAATAGAGTGGCTTGGGGAGGAGAGAAGGAAGATTAGTAATATACGAGAGGCCCTGCACGAAGTCAGACTTCATTTTGTATCTGCCCACCCAGCCCTCCCACCCAGTTTATTACAAGGGATGGGTGCCTAATAAGCTTCCTTGAGTGGGGAGTGATCACACTAAGCCTTAAATTCAGTGTAACCAAAATGGGCTCATCATGCACCTCCTTCCATCTCCTTCCCACCCAGTGAATAATGAATGACTCTGTTCCAAAGCCCCCGCCCCTCACTTCACCACGCTGACCTAGTGGGGCGCACTGTTTCCTATACCAGAGGCCTGGGTCATCCTCTTCTTCTCTCCATGCCCTAAAATTCAGTAACTGTGCCCACTTGATACTGTGTCATATTTCTGGACTCTTCTTTTTATCCCTACTCCCATTGTCCTAGATTTGGCTGGTTTCGTTTCTCTGTCACTTCCAGCTATAGCTACACCAATCTTTCCCCATGTCCATCTTTTTTCCTGTATTTAAATCCATCCTTTGCTTTTCTACCAAACAATCACTGTGAAATACTAATCTC